ATGAAAAGTGATCATATAATATGACACAGATGAAATAATAAAAAGAAAGGCTGACTTGTTGACTTGTCTACAACCCAAAAAATCTGCTTTTGTGTATCATACATCAAAAGGAAATGAGTTGGTTATAAATACTTTTACGAGTCGTTTGGTTTGAATTCAAGTTATGATGTGTGATGAGATTAGTTATACTAAAATTATTTTTTTATTGAGTGTTTGATTTGTTATATTCAAAATAATAAATTTCAAGAACAATTTATTTGTTTATAAAAATACACCTCATGAATATGAAAAGTATGTATAAAAAGATTTAAAGGGATATTTTTGTTATTTACTTATTTTATCTCAAGATAAATTATCTCGGAATTACTATATCATCCAAGGGGCCGGAGAGATAATTTATTCTGGTACTAATTATTAATCTCGCTCTCTTTTATTTAAAAAACTAGATAAACAATAGCACGTGCTAAGCACAGGCCCAACACCTTGAAAAAAGTAGTTTTTTATTAATAAAAAAAAGGAATCTCGTTATGTCTTAAATACATTAATTATTCTTCATTAATCACATTAAATATTTTTAAAAAACTACTAAGATGAATCTTTTAGGTAACTAATATTCCCTCTGTCCAATAATACTTGTTCACTATTGACTTTACACGCTCTTCAGAAACTTTAAATAAAAAGGTAAATACAATGTCTTGAAAATATTATAGAGAAATAACTATAATTAACGATAGGAAAAAAAAATTTGATCAAAAAAAATTTGGCCATAATTTGACTAGAATGGTAAAAGGACATGTTCGCACTATAAGCTAGTTTGTTTTTGGACATTTTTACCCTTTAACTCAAATATTGAATATATTCTTCAATTATGTTTCCAATGCATTGAAAATGATTGATTAAACATTAAAAATGAACCACAAAATCCACCAAAGAAAACATAAGTTTCACCCACTCTACCCTCTTGAAATTTTCAAGATCTAAAAAAAAAAAAAAAATTGTTTTAAAAAATAATTTAAAATGTAAGCATAGTAGTAAAAAACTACATAATAAAAAAAGTAGTAAAAATTATATCTCTTTTTCAGTTTCAAAAATTCCTCCTTTTTACTTATTCTTTTTTGTTTATTTATTTTCCATTTCTTATTTCTTAATGATAAAAAGAGAAAATTTAAAAACTATAAAAGAGGAATAAAGTGTAGATGATCTATTTTAGTTTATAATTTCTAATCTAGAAAGGATAAATTATATCTAAATTTAAATATTGAAAATTTATATCTATAATACTCAAAATTAAAAATTTGAAATTGGCCGAGTTGGCAAAATAATTACTCCTATTTATTTCAAGGAGTCGTTGTTACACATCGATTTCTAGAAAGAAGTTAAATAATAAAAATATATTTTATTTGATTATACTTAGAATGTATGTAGCGAAATATGAAGAAAATTGAAACTATAATAATGTTTCTCTTATTATGTGATTGTCTTCATATCCTCGATCGTATATGAATTATATCATACACAAATAAAGACTCATTAAAATTAATATATTTTTATTTTTATTTTAGTATTTGAGACGTATACAAATATTTTTTGAATAAAAATGTTGACGGCGCTTCATTGAAAAATTATAATAACACAGAAAGAATATAGAAAGTTCTTTATGATTTCAAAATAAACTTTTATAAAAAAAAAATAAGAAAGAAAACAATATTACATAGTTCTCCAATGATAATGACAACACAAATTTGTTAAGCATGAACTATCAAAGTTTCATAACATATATATTTTTCTTTATTAGCATTATTTGTTGTTTTAATAAAAAAAATGTTTGTTATTAAATGATTTGTTAAAATATTAAGTTTACATAGTTATAGTCATAATATTAATATTATTTTTCCCTCAAATTAACATTTTTTTAAAACTGATTATGAATTTTTATAATTAAGTAATTTTTATTGTATTTATTATATAAATAGATTTAAATTACATAATTAAATTACATTTTACATAATTTTTTGAATATAATGTAAAATAATTTAATAATAACAGTCAAAACTCAAAATACTCTAGTTCATATGTATCAACCCTAGATAACAAACCAAAAGAGCCAAATATTATAGTCTTGTGCCCCTGTTATGTCAATTTGATGATTTGAGAATCATTACTTATATTTGTTACTAATATGAGCTCTAATTAGATAATTATAGTAATTATTAGTATGTTAAAAGAAATTAAGCTATGCATAAAAAATAAAAATGGAATTTGAAAATATTTCAATAATGACAATCAAAATTCAAAGTACTTTAGAATTAGTCTACATCGACACATTATAGAAATACTTAAAATCATATGGTTCATAAGCGACGATCCTATTTAACAACAACCAAAGATAGTTGCACATAATGTTGTAGTTTTGCATATTTGCTAATTATTATGTTTTAAAAAATTAAACTACATATTTAAATAATTAAGTGATATCCCTAGTTAACAACAAGCTAAGAGTATTACAAAAAAAAAACTAAGAGAATGTTTACGCATTAATGTTATAGTCTTGCGCCTATATATTATACTGATTTGATAACTTATGAATTATTATTGATACTTGTTATTAATATGAACTCTAATTAAATAATTTAATGAATTATTGTGTTTTAAACAAATTTAAATTATATATTACTATTTTTAATATAATCTGAAAATATTACAATAAAAACAATCAAAACACAAAACACTTTATAGAGATCAATATATTATGATTCATATTATAACTTATAAGTATCAATCCTAATTAATTACACTAAACATTTGTATACTATATATGTTCAATTATAAATAGACCCTCTATATTTTGAAATCAAACATTCACATCTTCTATATTATAAAAATCATACAATTTTTTCCACCAATAATGTTATTTCTAATTTCCTAAAAAAAATATAAATATTGTATAGAATGAATGTTCTACGTAAATGAAATTCTATCTAACTAATTATATATACATAATTTTAAAGCAAGAAAATAAATAAAAGGAAATTATATATAATAAATATTACATTTAAATAAAATTATAAATAATGTACGTATTTAAATTAAAAGAAAGTTATTACTAACCGTTGATATATCTTATTAACTTTTAATAAATTAAAAGAAAGTTATTACTAACCGTTGATATATCTTATTAACTAATTTGTATCACTTAACATTTTAAAAAAAATAGTAAATTTTAAATTATTTTTAAACAGAGCCAGGAGAATTTAAAAAAAATAAGGTAAAGAAGTAGAATGACGAAAAACGAGAAGAAAAATGAATTTGACGAAGAAACAAAACTGTTAAATATTTTATTAGGTGGGATTCAAAACATTAATCTTATCAAAATAATAAATGCTTTATACAATTTATTAGAAAAGAGCAAGCCTTAATTTTATTTCTTTATTTTGAAGGAAAAAAGTTATAATTGTCTTTTTAAAATGGGCAAATATTGTTGGACATTCTAAAATAATATATTCCCTCTGTCCCAAATTACTCGTCCACTTTTGAATTGACACACCTATTAAGAAAATAATTATTGACATAGTAAATTTACCATTTTACCCCTATTAATTATGAAGTAAATGAATTAAAAACTTAAGATTTCAAGAATTTCTACCTTTTTCAAAGTAATTAATTGAGGGTATAATAGGTAAAAAAATTGTCCTTTCTTGATTTGTTAAAATGGATAAATAATTAGGGGCAACTAAAAAAGGAAATGTGGACAAGTAATTAGAGACAAAGGAAATAGTAAACAACTATTACAAGACGGAGAGTATTAAAGTTTACAGACATTTCTTATATATTCAACCCATTAAACGAGTGGCATTACTTCTTGCTCTTAAAAAATCAGTCCCTAATTTTATGAAAAGAAAAGGAAGCAACATAATAATGAAGACAATAACAGTTCGATATGAAATTAAATACTATTAAATGAAAGACTCAGAAAAATACAAAAAAGTTGACTGACTTGGAAGTGTGATTTGTGAACAAGAGATTAGGCTGGAAGGGGCCAAGAACTAGAACCATCGTTTCTTAACTCAACTAACTTAAACAAGTTCCTACTCTCTTCCTTGATTCTAATTTACGTGACACACTTTTTTAAATCTATTTTTAAATAATTACGTGAGAAATTTAAAAATTTAAATAAGACAGAGAGGTCAAAATAAACACTATATTAGTATTAGTTCCATCCTTTTCTATTCAAATATTTAACATAATTAGTCCTTTTATCCTGTTTAGTCCGTCTTTAAAAAATGACATATTTCTTTACTTAGTAATAATTTAACTTTAAAATTTTTATTTTATTCTTAGTGAAATAATTTATAGCAACACAAATTTTTATGACTTATTTTAAACAATAAATTTTAAATATTCTTTTTTAAACTTTGTGTCAAGTCGAACTAATTCATATAATTTGGACGGAGGGAGTATATGTTGTCAATTATTTCGTTATAGGAATAAAATTGTCAATAGTGACATGCTCTTGGACATTGATCATTCACCTTCTTCGAATTATTGAGGCAACTCATCCTCCTTGTAAGCAAGTTGTATAATTTCAAGATTGCACAAGATACTTCATATAATATTTTAAATTGACTTGGTGTGACTTTATCATAAGTTGTTGGTCTAACTCTATAATATAAAGAAAGTAATGACTTGATTTATTATATTCAGAATAATAAATACACCTCATGAATGTGAAAAGTATGTATAAAAAAGATTTAAAGGGATATTTTTGTTATTTACTTATTTTATTTCCGGATAAATTATCTCGGAATTACTATATCATTTAAGGGGCCGGAGAAATAATTTATTCAGGTACTAATTATTATTCTCACTCTCTTTTATTTAAAAAACTAGATAAACAATAGCACGTGCTAAGCACATGCCCAACATGTCGGGTTTTGATGCAAATTTTTCCACAATTATTTTTTGGGTAATAGACTAAACTCAATCAAAGGTCTCCGTACTAATACAGTAGAACATGACATTTCTATTTACATGTGTGAAATAAATAATCATAGCAAAAACACTTATGTACATTGTCATGCTATGCATATATAATTCTTTTATCTACCATCTGTGCATAAGCACATTTGAATTCATCATTTCTTATGATGAGTCATACAACCTTTTTTCATCCAAAAACCACCATATGGAGAAGTTTAACATGAATACCTACAAAAGGCAAGTAAATATCAATCAACCAAAATTTATTTAAATAGATGTTTAGCTATTATAGAAGTATTGTAACTCACACAATATTATTTTTTCAACGATGGAGAAAAAAGACCAAGTATCTTACCAATCACAATACACACTTCTAAACAATGTAAAAAAACCAATAAGAACTCCAAATGTTTATTCAAATTACCAACCAAAAAAAGTGATCCAACTGTAGAAAGTGAGGTATATAAAAACTGACCATTGACAACTCAAAAAATGCTCAAAGCTTGCAGTATAAACTTTTCAGTTTCTCTATAATCCAAGAATTAGAAAGAAAATGTCAAGTTTAAGCTTTATGTATGATTAAGCTCCATTTCATGTTGCATCTATGAATGTGAATCAACTCTTTAAAACTTATTGAAAGTACAAAATATAAAGAAAATAGAGTTATAAGAACTGATGTTTCTTTTTCTTCAAAAGGTGAATCGATTTTTAGGCTATTGCAAACTACCTTAAAGATATTGAAATCTCATTTTAGATATTTCAAACATGGACACAATTTAATGATGTATGAATAAGCAAGTCTCACCTCTGACCTTTCTTATAGATCAACTAATGGACATAATTTGATGGTGTATGAATAAACAAGTCTCACCTCTGACCTTTGTTATATATCAACTAATTTCTAGAGAAGTAACAAGTACATGTCTCCAGACCTGTAATCAACAAGCTAATCATTAGTTGCGCTCACTTTATTAAAATAGAAATCTATATTAACTTCATATACCTCAAAAAAAAGAAAGAGAGCTTTGTAACAGAAAATAACCAAAATCAAAAAATATGATACCGTCCACAATTGAAAGGTTAGTACACTACAACCAACAACACTCTTGTATAAATTTAGACTATGGCATGTCATCATTGACATATCGAGACAAGAAAAAGGTTTAAATTAATGAAAGGGTTAACTGCATGGATAAAACGCTGCCAAATAAATGCCAACAAAAGTGTAAATACCTTTCATTCATCTACTTCACAGAAAAAAACAAAAGATATGAATCTTCTATTCAAATTGTTCCTTTTTGACAGGACGAGAAGAAATAAGAAATATTTCAACTTGGATATTTTTATATAATAAATAAACACAAACGTCTCAATGAGATATATCCATAACTAAATATGCAGTGTCAGATCGTCAACATATAAAAATTCTAGTATAATCAAATTTTTGTAGCACACAAGTCAATCAAATTTTGAATTATACGTGTAAATTAAGAACACTTGGAATTCAATTTCCACCAAAATCACATATCTAAACTCTACACTTATTAGCTATCAGACTACACTATTGCCATTGGTTAAAGACAAACAATTTTTGACAAAAACTAAAATCAAATACTTGGGAAAGTAGTCATTAACAGTAACAAGTCAAAAAAACAGTAAATTGATGGATCCAAAGTAGAAAATGAGTTCGATTACAGAAGTAACAACCAAAAGGGGTCATGCCAGTCAGTATATATTCAAAACTCAAGAGGTATAGGAAGAGTATATTCTTAACAGTTTGGAATTTGAGTTGATCAGCAGAAATAAAGATTTCCCATCTCAGAAAACGGGACAAACAAGTTTGGTTTGTGGTTGGACGAGAGGGTAAAAAACCAACATAAACAAACCCAACCATCTTTCAATATTGACCTAAAATGTCTTTAAAAAGATTGTCTTTGTAAAAAAATTGTCAAATCTATTAATAATATCTTCAAGAAAGTTTCGATTTTTGTTTTTTTTTTCCCCAAGATTTATTTTATAGTAGAAATAGATAAATAGAGTAGTAAGCTAAAGAGGGAAAAAGAGTAAAGAAAAAGTGGTTTTTAAAGATTAAAATGGAGTAGCAAAGAAGACAAAAAGGGATCAGCTAAGCTTGACCCTTACAGATTCTAAATGAATCCCAGTTGTATCCCTCAAATTATACTATTTTTCATTACTCCAACTTCATAATGATTTAGTTCTAAGTTAAAATTCCTTCTTTTTATGAGTTTGGAAGAAGTTAATTGAGTTAATAAAGTAGTCTTTGATCAAGATGAGTACAAAACTATTGAACATAAAGGTACAACCTTTAACCAAACAACAATTGTGTACGTTACTTGCTTCTTTTATTTATTTATTTATTTATTTATTTATTTTTGCCGTGATTGACTTGAGCTTGAGATCTCTGGTTCGATTCATCAATGTTGGTGTCTCAGTCACAAATTAATATTGTCCTCCAAATAATACCCCATAGTTTCTACTCAACTATATCCGTAGTATGAAGATTTTGATTACTCGATCATTCTTATAAATCTCAATATGTTTGGCTAACTACGATGGAATAGAGTCATTCTAAGTAGATCCCTTCTTACGATATGTCAAATAGAGCGGAGTCAATCATATAATAGCACCAACGAAAATTTCAGCATGAAAAATTCCAAGAAGATGAAATGAACTTACTTGGCAAAGGAGCATATATATGAACTGGCCCTTGAAGAATCTCCTTGCCAATTTATAAACATATAGTAAATAGAAACCACAGCAATGATATTGACTCCACCGGTGATCATAGCAGAAAAGTGAAGCATCAACACCAAAACCAATAGTCTTAAACAACACTGGTACAAAATCATATTGATTCCAGTAAGTTGCTGGAAAAATGGGATCATAATTTGCCATTGTGAGATGTGGCCTATATTTCTCTTGCAACAAATTCCTCCAAGCTAAGGGCGTTCAATTTTCCTAGAGGCCTCACTTGCCACAACTAAATCATTGAACTCTTCATCTACATCTTCAATTCCCCTAATTCTCTTTAAGCTTAGCTTTGGCTTCGTCATAGTTGTCACGTTCAATCATGGAATTTGGGGAGGAACAATGTTCCTACTGTGATGATCAATGCCGGTACCTCCTCAGCATACCCCATGAATCTTAGCAAAGAAATAGGCTACCAATTGTGATGGACAGTTGAAAATCAATGTTGAGTGCTCCTGTGGGGCCATTTCAAATAGGTGTAGTGGAACAGACTGCAATACAATGAAACAAAAACAGCAACAAAAAAATGAAATTAATTAAAGGAAGAAGACAACAAATAGTTAGTCCTCTGTATCAGTTTTAATTGTTTTTAGTCTGATTAGAAAAAAATACTTCTTCTACAAGATTCAGATAGTATTTTAAGTAATACATTATACACATCTTTAATTTAAGATCGCAGCTCAACTCCAAACAGTTTGTTGGACTTGCAGTATGTAGACCACAAATTTGTTGTTATAAAAATCAGTAGATCTCAAACACTTGAGGCAGTTGAACAATATGTTGAACCAAAATTCACATTTGTATTGCTTATATAAAAATATCCAGCTAGCATCTTTCTTCCAAACTCTTCATCTAACTTCCAAGCTTGCTTCTTCTTTGTCTCAACAATGTACAATTTCAGAAAAATTTAACACAAAGAAATAATTACAGAAAGGGGTCTATTACCTCTAACGCGTGTGGCGTTGGATACTTGAGAAAATCTGGAGCTTCTTGTTCATAAACTTCCTACATCTTCAAAGCTGTAGAATTGATTGAATGAGGTTTACTAAAGCGGCAAAGACTTTTGCAATGTCTTTTTGCGCATTACTGGTAAAATATATCAACTTTAAGGGGGAAATTTTTCATCCCCCGAGACTTGAATTGCAAGCTTGCAATTTATGGCACCAGGCTTTCACTATTACGATATGCTCAAGAAACAACAAACAAATATAATTGATGCATGCAATAGTAAATACTTAATTTTTAGAAAACTAACCTGTGTATGATAATTTTCTTTTAGTTCTTTCCCTCACAGATAAGGATATTATGCAGATCATCCAAGAACTAACATATCTTTTTCTTCTCCAAAATAAAAGCTATTTTGGCTTAAAGCACCTAAAATAAGTCGATCCAAACGGGCACTAATCAGGTATGATTTACCTTATAGAAAAGGAGTAAAAGAGAATTTTACAATTATCCTCAACAGGTGCTATATGATGATTAAGTTTGATTATGATTAATCCAGAATGAAAGCAATTTACAGTTATTTTCACAGCAAGCTTTTGTTAGAAATAAAGGTTACTCAGGGGTTGTGTTTAATTGAAAGGCATGCATTCCTTAGTGCCTTTAGTTTAGAGAAAAAATTGTGTCCAAATAGTACTTACCAATAATCATCATGACAACTAATATGTAGAACTATAAAATTAGTTACTTAAATTAGGCCAAACGTTGCCTAATCATTCCAAGAGGCTGATTTTTTTATGTTTTAGGTAGGACTAATACGAATATAAAGTATAATTAATTATTATGAGTCATCTTAGAAAAGGAAATGCTGACTGTTTGATACAATTATCAATTTTTTCCAGATGCAATTGCCATCTCTTTTGGTACTTCCAAATTTTAGTTTAGCATTGTGACTGAAAAACAAATATGAATATGAAAACTTACGACTAAAACATATGTCATTTAGCACGGATAAGTGATAACATACATATATGTAGAGATTGAAGAGAGGGACCTCATCTGCCAGATTGCTACAGGGTGGTGTTTTGCAAATAACATATAGGATACCCATATGTGTTTGGCTCAAGGAAAGGAGACATATCATGATTATGCAAGACCACCAAGAGAAAAGTCGAAATGAAAAGCAATATGTAAGATTTATTTTCTAAAAAGCACCTCAATCATGATAGAATGTTGTCCACCTTTGGTTGTCTGTATGCACTGCATAGAAAATAAAAACGTGGACCTAAGATTATGTAAATGCAATCATGCTTATGTAAGCTTGAAGTGGAAAATCCGTCCATTTTCAGCTTAATTAAGTTTTGTCATATTTTATTAAAGGTGTGCTTTACACTTATTGTTAGTTATGTTACCATAATCACGTACGTTGAATGGTTACTTTTCTCCATAATATAGGCCGATTAACATCAACTTCTAAAGTTAAGTCGACACTTGGAAAAACCAAATAAGATAATCGATTAGTCAAATGAGAAGATTGTTATAAGCTAGATTGGGGGATCGATTCATACCTCATATCGTATTCTTCCATCTTCTGTGGAGGCGCAGCCAGAATTTCTACCTTTTAAGAAACCTAAGAGTATTAAAAATTCCAGGTTGCATTATATATAGGATAATATATTCTTAAGATGTCAACTTATAGGTACAAAAGACCATTACTATCTTTTTTAACATATAGTTACATAAAATAGATGTATTTTTCAAATCATGTAAGGTAGCATCTATTTTAAACGGCAGTATGCATAGGAGAGTGAGAACATTATAGATAGCCTCTCTTTTAATGAGAAAACATTTGGTTTGTTTAAGTTTGCCAATTTTGACAGTTCCAAGTAAAAAAGAATTGCAAAAAATTCAAAGTACATATGCAATGTCTAGAGTGCAATAAAGGCTTCTAAGGAACCAAGTAACCATCATTACATTTGAAAAACTACAAGTTCAGATTACCACTAAGTAAATCAAAAGTTAAAATATAAGGTGTTTCCAACCTAGTCATGGCACTGTTGACACCCAATTTTGACCATCCACACTATAACTTAATCATCAAGCTTCTTCAATTTTTAACGATTTAAAATAATAAGTTTTATAATTCAAAAATAAAATAAAATAAACATAGTTTGCAAGTTATTTTAAATTAGTTTTGTCTACTTTTAATATATATATATATATATATATATATATGTTTTACATAGTTATGTATATAATTAATGCATTTTATGAATATTCAAAAATCATCTCAAAAAAGATTTTATATTTTTAAATACTTTATTAGTAAGGGTCATAATTTTGAATTAATGAATTTTATGGAATTCAAAATACTTCAAGTTATTTTTAGAGTAATTTTATCATTTTTAATAATTTTAAATAATAAATATGTATATTTTACAATCACGTGATTTTATAAATATTTGAAAATCATCACAAAGATTTTACATTTTTAGTGAAATATTTTATTACTTTAAGTTATAGTTTCGAGTTAATTAGTTTGTCATTAAATTAATTATTTTTGTAATAGAAATAATTATTATATTTCGTTAAGATTTAAAAACTCGTTAATTAATTAATATTAATTCATCTAAATTAAACTCAATATGTTTACCTTTTAAAAGATCTAACCCCTTTTCTTAGTTGGGCCAAAATCAGCAGCCCACTTTTGCATTTTTCAGCCCATTTTTGCATTTTTCAGCCCACTTCAGCAGCCCATTAAAATACAACAACATATATCAACCCATTAATGCCTCCAATTTCCAGCCAACATTCACCAAGAACTCAGCCCAAAAACCCATTCATTTCAATACCCAGCAACAATAACATACCAACAATACCCCCACCCCTGTACCAGCGTCTTCCTCTAGCGAAGAACGTGACCAGACGCCAGACGAAATCCCAGCGAAAATCGCGCTGCAAACCCAAAAATTTCGCCTAACTACCCTACATAACCCATACCCTAGCAGTCTCAATGTCAACCTTCACGTCCTCTCTTTCCCCCCTTTTCACGGAATACAACTTTTTTCCCATGCCTTTTACTGTTGGTCTTGAAAAGAAGCAAAGAAAATTTCAAATTTTTCTTTCAAAAATTCAACGGATTTCCCCCCTAATTTCCATCTATTTTAATCATTGTTGGGGGGGAGATTTTTTTTTTTAGTTTGAGTTTTCCTCGGCAAATAGTCGTTTTACGCTTAAAATATTATACTTAGCTTTCGAATTCGAAGTTCCGAGAAGATAGTCACTCAAATTTTCTTAAGTTTGTCGTTCGTATTCGAAGAAATCACTGCTTTCAAGCTCGCTTTGTTCTCAGTTTGCTGTCTCAAGAAAGGTAACCTCATTTACCTTAACTCGTTTTAGCTGGTGTTTTATTTCTAATTAAAAGTTTACTGTTGAACTCTTGAGGTAAATTTATACTTTGGGCGTGGTTGATCAATATTATGTGTCCTCTTGCTTGAGCATTCTGTTGAAAAAATGGTATTGATTGAGTGCATTATAATTATTGTTCATATTGTTGACGATTTGAGTTATGTAAAACCAGTTATTCAATGGAAAATATTTTGACGTAAAGGGGGGGCTCACTTTTGTTTGTTTTATTAGTCTATGTTCATACCCAAATCTTCTTTGAGGGTTTTGGTGTTACTTTACCAATTGAAGGCATTCGAATCTTACAGTGATGTCTTTTCCATGTAGGATATTTTTCTCTAATCTCGTATCTTATTTTCTCACTCTGGAATGATATTACTATAAGCCAGAATGCTTTAGAATGATAGCTTCTCTTTTGTTCAAAATTACAAAGCTATGTTCTCTGCAAAGTTTCATTTCTTAAATCTAGTTTTTTTTTTATTGAGCATGTTGCAATAAGTTTCTCTGTACTGCATTTCCAGCATCTATTTTTGTCTATTCGGTTTATTCTCTCCTTCTATTAGTTGTATAGTTCTTTACTTTCTTTAAAAATGTCCTTGCGGGCTACTATGGTTAATTCTTGCTGTGATGTGAAGTTAGACCGGCGATATTAAGTTGTAAAGGATAATATTTTTCTCTTGATTCATGCTCAGTCAAAGTCTCTTTGTTTAGTTCGGGTGATTCTCTATGTAGCAATTTGTGATATTTAGTTTGGTACCAACACTTCATAAATTTATCATTTCATGTTTTACTTTAGATTTTCCTGTCTATTATGGTGTAAGAAATGTTCTATTTATATAGATACTTACTAATATATTTGTTACTCAATAGTTGCCGTAACTCATATATAACAATAATATTTCTTCAGTTTTTGCGTATTTGTTTTATAATTGATAGATAGTATTCTGCTTGCTCCATTCCTTGCTAATAAGTCACTAAGGTTAATGTGTTTTTTTTTTCTAAATTAGCATTACTTGTTAGATTCTTGTTTAAATGTTGGTGCTTAAGTCAAGATGTCAAACCTTGTTTAGTTTTGTTTGGTGAATGTTTTCTTTAAAAAAATGGAATCATAAGTGCATTTGCTGATATAATACTCCCGTAGGTATATGTTTTTAAATTTAGTGGTTTGAGCAAATCATTGATTAAGGTTGAGTGGATATATTCTATTTTATATAGTTTTCCTTATGTTGCTTTTGGTTTTATTGTTTTCCACTCATGTGTTCATGATTTATGCATTGGTCTCTACAAAAAAAGCATTTTTTTATGTAATTTTGAGTTGTTATTAATTCATTACTCCTTTCTTTGTATGCATACTTGAGTTTATTCATTGACGCGCCTCCTTGCATTATATTGGGCTAATTAGCCCAACCTTCTACTCGAGTCGGCTTTCTTCCCTGTCTGAATTTCGAAAGATGAAACAGTTGAGAAAGGAGTTGCATTACAAGTCCTAAAGGCTGAAAACAGGCTGAAATACATCATGTATACACTGATATACATATCAATGCAGCAAATACGTGACTAAAAATGGGAATACAGGTCGAAAATGTGGGAATACATGGCTGAGGTGAAATACAGGTGTTCGGAAGCAAGAGATACACGAAAAGAGCTGATATACATGCCGATATACACTGATATATATCAGTTGTATACCAAAAAAGGGGTTTTGTTTAAACCCCAAAAAGTAGCAACGAATTTGTTCCAAGAAAGGCCCGAATTCAACTTCTCTCCGTTACTCCTAAATTATTTAATTGCGATTACTTATTATTTCTTGTTTAACTCTAACTTTAGAATTTTTAATTAACTTAATTAGATTCCCCAAAAGATGAGTTATTTTATTTGTGTTGGTTTAAATCTAATATATTTTACGTTGTTGTGTTCACTTATTTTATTAATCAAATATTGGTCGAATTTTAAATTTTAATTAAGTAAAATCTTTGTTCTTAAAAAGATATGTTTTAAGGCCGCTTCACTTGATCACATATTATTTTTAAAATTGTTTAAGTTAAAGTATTTTTCTCAAATAAATTTAAAAAAAAAATGTTAGTCAAAACTCTTTTTTAATTAATTAATAAATAAATAAATACTTACTCAATCATTTGCTCAAAAGTTAGTCAAAACTTTTATTCTTCAATTAATTTAAAATGATTTACATGCTTTAATGTGTTAAAATGGTTTAATTTATTTTAAAATGAACTAAATAAATTCTAATTAGTCTAGTTTTATTAATTTTCTAAATCACTTGCACCCTAATTCAAATGTTTTCATTTTAGGTTTCTTCCTCTAAAAAGATAGAATAAAATGGTTCATTTCTTAATTATTTTCTCAAACTTAATCGAATAGCGTAAATTATTATATATTTTTTTATGTTAAAATAGTTTTTCTAAAAAATAGTCAAATACATTTTAGTCAAGCCATATGTCAATCGCATGTTAGCGGACACTTCGAATGCTTAAACTTTTCTCAAAGTGTAAATTGAACCCCGAACCTTCTTTCGTATTTTCAAATGATTTTTTCTGTTTAAATTTTTGAAAATTATAAGTTTTCTTAATTTCTTTAAAAAATTAAGTACCGACTCTTTCTAAGTATTTTTCTCAAATTGTTTTATACTTAGAATATCTCAAAAAGTGATTTTCCTAAGGCTAGCAAAATTACGGCACAACAGAAATGGCGACTCCGCTGGGGAGTTAATTAAGTTCTAACCAAAAGATTTGACTATTTGACTAATTATTACTAATTGCTGAATTATTTATTTGTACTTAATATGCTTAAATTGCTATAAACTGTTGCTTTCATGGGATAACATATTCCGTCAAACGACGCTTATTTTCTAATTTTCACTCTAAGGACGATTATGCAGGCCGCAATCGTTCGTTAACCAAATTGTTCTCGGGGCACCCTGACAAATGTAGTTGGCTACTGGATAGTCAACGGTCGTTAATTGTCCCAGCCCAAGTAGTATGCTTGGGTCACCAATCCACTTTAAAGAAAACTCAATCTTAGTCATACTAGTATAGAGCAAGACCAAATCCCTGAAATTTAGCGCATTGGCCTAAGATGACCCAATATCCAAGGCGTGTCGGGTCCATTAGAAAGACTACCTTGAGTTCAAAAGGCCCACGGCCCGAACAGACGCTCATACTTACGTGTTTGAAGGATATATGTGTTATTTGACAAAATGTTGTGTCTTGGGTTTAAGGGGTATCTAATTATTTGTATGTTTTTGAAGATAACTAAGCAACACTTGAGTTTCAAAATGGTCACCGAGAAGCCAAACCTTCTCCGTGTGTGGTGGTACAATCTCAATGCATATCAGAAAAGAGAACTTTCCATTCACTTAGGTCACCTTCCGTCGATAATGAATCTCAAAGTCTGGCCTAAGTTCATTGAGGTGGTCACTCGATTTTGAGATGGTGAGAGGATGGTGTTTCGCTTCGGTGATGTTGAAATGACACCAACTGTTGAACAAATCAAAGATTGCCTAGAAAACGTCGAAATGTGCCAGAAAAGGAAAAATTATCCAGATCATCACATTTTGCTACCAGATAAGCCAACCAGCACAGAACTGAAAAACATGTTGTTATTGATAAATGCAGACTGACTAGACACCCCGAGTATTCCATTTGTGAAATTCTATGAACGATGGGGTCGCGAGAGTTATTATAAGAATTTTCCAAATGAGTTTCACAGCCACAATAGTTAGAGTCAAACTCAAACTCTATTATTTGTCGTATGCTTCTTAGGGACGATGCTATTCCCTCAAGCCGAAGGGAATGAAATTGATACTCGGGTTGTCATGGTTACACACGTCATCTTCGAGGGCGTTAGTAAGAAAGGACGAGTTAAGAAATACTTCAACCTAGCCCCGATCATTCTGGCCGACATCTACCGATCTTTGGGTCAATGCAAAAATGGGTTTCCATTTTTTCAAGTTTGTAATATTTTGCTACAGTGGTGGATATCTAAACATCTAATGAAGACATACGAGACTCAGAAACAGAAATAGGCCGAACCACAAAAAGAAAGCCACCTTGACCATTACGAGTTTCATTTGAGCCTCAACAGGTTCAAAATCCACAGCACTAGGAAAGCTTGGGCCAAAGTCTTCCACGACATAAAAGATGGAAACGTACAATGGATGTTTCAAGATTTCATGTCAGAAAAAATAGCTATTCAGGGGGCTAAATGTCATTTCCTAATCCTTCCTGGCATTAGAAGGGTACGACCTTACAATCCTAATAGGGTAATGCGGCAATTCGACAGAAGACAGATTCTACCTTTCAAATGAGACACTAGCCGCTACGTCTTTGACTACAACGGGTGTGACAAGATACCTCACGCCAATGATATTTGTCAAGAATGGGCTAGATGAGTCAACCTAAAAGAGAGCATGGTAGAAACTAGATATGAAGTCGGGTATGTGGATGAATACAAAAAATGGTTGCAGGATGATTTGCGTGATACACTTGACCCGACGCCACGCACGGGCCAACAGATTGAAGATGTCCAGGTAAGGCTCCAAATCCAAGCCTACAATTTTCAACAGGAATGAGATCGAAGAGAGCAAGAGTTTCGGCGTAAGGAGCAAGAATACCTGCATAGGGAACAAGAGTTCCAGCATCGAGAATATGAAAGTCAAAGAGCATTAGCCTTTGCCACGCAAGAGTTAGCTGACGCGAGAGCCTGCCTGATACGTTTGGACTTGAACTTGGATGATCAGCTTAACACCCTCCAGGGCATGTCGATGTCTTCCAAAGCTGTGTTCGCTGAGCCGCATGTGATAACGAGCAAGTTCCTCATTCGTGAAGAAGTGGAAAAAGTGAGAGGAGGAGCAGGCCCTTCAGCATTTTAGTTATCTTATTCCCTTGTGTGGGACTAATATTTTTGTATTTGCAGTTTATCCCTTTCCTAAAAGATGTATCCCTTTGCTTAGCTTTGTAACGAATTCTCTATTGTTTATGAATCTTATTTCGGGGGATGCAACAATGTGTTTTAAAAAGGCGCAATACATCATTCAAATCGCTAGGCCTACCCTGGTCATAAAAGGGTCACATGCATGTTTATGACACGATATTTGTGTGACTTAACTGTTTATGTGATATGTTGCTTTAAATAAGGACATTTTTAACCCACTCCTTTTCAAAATTTTCTGAAAATCTCCACAAATACAAGTCACTACCAAAATTCTATGAGTTTTGAGTTTCTCAGCCAAAAACAAATCCCACTCTATCATCTCATGAAAGGTAAAATTGCAGCTAAGATGGAAAAAGGCAAGAGTATCGATGTAAAGCTGACTGAAGAGGATTTGAGGATGGAATTGCAGCGGCTCAGACAGGAGATTCAAGAAACCAGAGAAATGAGAATAGAAGTGGTCGGTTAAAATTGGATTCGTCAATTTCATTTTCCTCGAATTTCTTTCATCAATCCAAGTCAAACGAAGGACAATTATTGACATCCAATTTTGGACCTCCACAATATAAACTAATCATCGAACTTCCTAAATTCTAAATGATTTGAAATAATTGGCTTTATAAAATTAAAAATAATTTCAAGTCATTTTAAGTAGTTTTGTCATTGTTATAAATTTTAAAATAATAAATGTGATATTTTATATAATTATGTGTCTAATTAGTATATTTTATGAATGTTCAAAAATTGTCTCAAAAGGATTTTAGTCTTATTTAAATATTTGGTTATTTAATTTAAGTTAATTAATAGCTTATATTTTGAGTTAATTAGTTTATAATTAAGTTAATTATTATATAATTATGTGTCTAATTAGTATATTCTATGAATATTCGAAAATTGTCTCAAAAGGATTTTACCTTTATTTTATTTGATTATTTAGTCGTTTACAGTGTTAAATTAATTAGTTTATAATTAAGTTAATTATTTTATTTTATTAAGATTTAAGAAGCTCGTTAATTAATTAATATCAATTTGTCTTATTTAATTACTAGCCGAATCTATCTCAACTAAATCAAATTGGCTAAGATTTTCCTAATCCCCTTACAACCAAACCGACCCCACCCTTTATTCTTTTTCTAGCCAATTCCCTCTCCCTTCACATTAACAATACAATACATACATGTACCAACCGACCCATTCCAATAAAATAATAACAACAACAGCATACACCAAACTGACCCCACTCCTTTTTCCCTTTTAATTTCTAACATACAATACATACAATTCCAAACATTCATACATATAATACAGCAAACAAATCAAACCGACCCCACTCGTGTTCTCCTTCTTCTTCATCAAAGACCAAAACGTTAAAGCAGCAACATCTGTGTATAGCAGCAACGTAGCTCACAGCAGTAGCAGCACACGCAACGCCCAAACGACCCATACGTGATTTCTTTTTTTTCACGCGTCAAAATAGACGGAAAACTGCCAATGTCTTCATCAACAGTGTAGCAAAACTTGCAATTACATCCTGTAGCAGCTGCGAAAAATCACCCTTGACTCGCGTGGATGGGCGCCACGTCGAGCACAAGGGCGGTGGGTTCGATCTAAGCCGTCCACGTTGATCCTTTCATCCAGATTTCATGGGATTTGGGGTGAAATCTCGTGCAAATCCAACTACCCCCTATTCTGGATTTTTGAATTTTGAAACCGAAGGAGAATTCCATTTTTTGACCTTTGTTCCAATCCGATTTTCATCCCGTGAACTCCCCTATAAATACCCTTCATCTTCATTGTTAAAAGGGTTGGAAATTTTTAACTAAGGAAAACATAATACTTTAAGGAAGAATAGCCAAAATACATTCTAAATACTCTAAAAAAAACAGAGAGATTTTCTTATTCGTTGATTTGTGTCCGAGTTTTGTGGAAGAAGTCACGTTCCCCTGCTCGTCTCCCATGTTCGCTACCCGGAGAAAGGTAGCTTTTTATCCTTCGTAACTTTCTTTTGCCTCTTCCTTCTATTCGAAATGATATCGTGATGTTTGAAATTTATATTTTTGGGTTGCTGGTTGTTGGCTGCTATTAAATTGATGTTGCTTGTGTGATATATCCATTCTTGTATGATCCCGTTAGTTAGTCGAGTCAAAGTTAGTGAGTTTGCATCTAAGTGTTGATGTTTCCAGTCTATTAGATGTGACCATTCTTTTCCTCCGTTTTCTTTAAATTTTCGTGATTATGTAGCAATTATCTTGTCATGTTTGAACTAGTTTTGATGTTAAGATTGCATATTTGAAATTCCATTGTGTTGAACTTTTCATGATTTACTAATCAGTGACCTTCATATGATTTGCAATCAGTTTAAGTACGGTATGAAATTAGTATATTGATTTTTCATATTCGATAAAGTTTCCTATGTGTAGTTAAAATAATAGCATGTTATTGTTAATATTCTTCATCTGTCACGCTTGGCTATGAGTTTATTCCATCGTTGTCACTGCTTCTTTTGTTGGAAAGCTCCAAACTCTATTGCTTTTAATTATTTAGTCCTAATATGCTTTTAGATGATATAACATATGTCAAAATATGGTTAATGTCTACAGTATTTCTTTTGTTAAAACTGAAGCTGAAAAAATATAATAATAATAATAATAATAAATAAACAAGTGGTAAGAGCGAGATGAGTAATTTTCATATTTGGGAGCTTGTTATTCTGGAAATGGACATATGTGTATGTAGGCGTGCATGAGTTTGTTAGTTATAATTGCACATGATTATGAAATAAGCATGGTCTGTTGACTTCTCTTTATATATAGTAGAATAATAATGGAGTGTAGGGTATAACTTCCGTTTTACTTAAAAAATACATGTTGTGTGAAGCGTGATATTTTACAAATCTCATTGTGCTCTCATAATTATTTTCTGTCAATTGATTGCTATGTTATTTAATTTCAATTTATTCATTTTGTTTTATTAAGTACTAGAAGAGTGAGTAAAGATTTGGATATCGACATGTGTGATTACTGTAATTATCTATTTTTTATGATGTTTGTATTTTCATTAAGTGTTGCTTTAGGCGTTAATCCTTTCATATTTTTACAAATAATCTCTCTTTGGTTCTAATTTCCATGGCACCTCTTGAATTGGTTAATTTTAAATAAATTTTGGCATAAAATTTGTAATAATGATAATAGGAAAATTTACGTATTTGAAAACTACGCAAAATAAAATAAAAATATTGCAAGTTATAATAATAAACCACTCTAAAATATATAAAATGCATTTTGACTAACCGTTTAGAGTGTATTTTTCCATCTAAATAGTACTTTTTAGATAGGTTTTGAATATCTATGTTTTAAATTTAAATATTAATATTTTAATCTGATTTAATTTCAAAAATTTATGACAAGCATTTGAAATGAAGGGAGTAGTGAATTACCTCCTTATTTAAACTACGTGACTATTTTTCGAAAACTATGTACTTTAATTTTTAAAAAGTCTATTGGACTTAATCATATTGATTTATAGTTAACCTGCTTACCTTTATATTGTGATATACATACTCCAATCACATATAAAAATATTATTAGTATAAGAGGCAATTGCAAATAATTCAGAGCATCAAATTATGATAATAAGTTCTTTTTTAAAAATAAATAAATAAATAAATAATAATAATAATAAAAATAAATTAAATGTGAATAGAGATAGGGAATAAAAGAAACCTCTATTAATGGAAGCAAATTGAACCCTTCATTTCAATTATAAAAGATAGTGATCAATCCTTTAGTTTATACTCTTCTATGTTATTAAATTAACATATATTTTTATGTAGGACCCGTGCTTGCACGGGTTTGCCGTCGTCTAGTACTTGAAATATGTTTAAGTATGTGCCCTTGGATACATTACTGTTTACTATTTTATAATCGATGAATCATGTTATCGTTTAGAGCTAAGGTGTGAAAGATCTTATTAATATTGTATACTAATTTTTTTTCATTTTCTTGTTGCATGTGAAATCTGCCTGAGTCCTCATGGATTCTATCCTTGCATTTTCTCATAGGGCCACAAAGGCCCAATCCTTTATTTGAGTCTACCGACCATTTAAAATCGACGTACAGGTGTTCGGAGCAGATACACGAGATTTGTATACACTAGTACACATCTAGTGTATACGAAAGAGGGAAATAGGCCTAAAGGACCCAAATTCCGCACAAAAAAGTTGTATTTTGTTATTTTGAGCCTAAGCCCTTGTCCTTTTAATTGCTATTATAGTGTTAGTTTAGGACAGGTACAAGCGATTCAAATGGGTCAAAGACCCAAAATGAAAATGAGCCCAAATACTGGCCTAGACAGATAGGAAAACCAGATTTGGGACCAAATCTCTATCTCTCTTTGCTTTATTGTGTTTGTTTACTTGTTAATATTTGTTGTTAAGCTTAAGGTCGAAAAATTCAAATCCCCGAAAGACACCTATTTCGAATTAATTACTTAACTAAATTATTCATCTTTTACTCAACTTAAAAAATAAAATAAACAAATAAGTTTACAAAATATTTCGCTTAGATATATTTCAATATTTTCCCCTTAAAATGGTCTTAACTACAAAATAGTTCAATTTTGCAATTCAAGCTAAGTTAAGATTATTTTTAGCCAAATAATTAATCGCCGGATAATTGCGTATTAGTGGGCATTTTGGGTGCTTTAAACCCCTTCCCAAAATGCTAATAAGAACCTCAAACCCTTTGTATATTTTCAATTGATTTTTGTTTAATCTGTTGAAAAAATCGATTTTCTTAATTTCACCTTAAAAATTAAGTGGTGACTCTTAAACCAGTCAAATCTATCATTTTTAAACAAAATGGGCACTACTACAAAAAAAACTTTTTAACAGCTAAAAAAACCTTATATTTTGTTGATAAATATTTATTTGTTGCAGTGGCTAGAAACACTATAACAAATTTCTTGATTATTTATAACGTTTGGCTAAGCAATCTCTTGATAAATAATAACGAAATTTATTGATGATTTTCGATTGTCAAACAATTTCTTAGTCAACCATGATAAATGCCGGAACACACAGTTCTTTGAACAAGTGAAACAGTTTCTTCTTCTCTTTGTTACGATAACAAACTTCTCCAAAGCCACTACATTCTTTTGTAGAAACTTCAAAGGTTCAAAAAGTTTACAAAACTCTGCTTCAAACCACACCTTCAAACGTGATATTAGGTAGCCGACAATCTTAACATTCTTGAGATTGGAAAACAGTGTTTGAAATCCAACTCGGCAAATTGATGTTATATATCAACTTCGGCAAAATATATATCCTAGCTCAAGCTGGCAGGGGATAGTAAAACTCAACTTTGATGTGTATGTTGAGTGACTCTAAAAGAGGCGAGGTTCGCAAAAGGCTGGCTATTTCATACATATTTTCCTTTTTTACATGCATTTACAGAGTTAGACATTTGCATTTCAATTCTGGAAGCATCACTTCGTCAAGTACTCAAGTTTCATCATGAACACAATCTCTGAAAATCATCGTCCAATTATTAGCTCGGTTGCGTATCTCAACTTTTAAAGGTAGTCCAAAATAAGGTTTCCGATAGCTTAGAAAGGTTGGAGATCACCTTAAAGTCATGAACTATATCTATATGTATAGTTGACTGAGCCAAAATGAAAAATCTCAAGGAAACTTTCGCATCCTCCCCACAATACAAAAATAAGTGTATATTATGTATTATTAAATAAGTTGCTTGTAAAATTTTAAAATATCATAAGATCAAGATCCAATATTAAGTATTTAGAGTTCTTTACACATCCATGGATATAAAAATCATTTATCACCTCTATGCAACCCTAAGAAGCGTAAAAGAGAAAGAGAAGGAGTTAGATAAGAATATAAGATGAAAGAATATCGAGAAGTAGAAAGAACATACCAAAAGACAAAACTACCCTCACTTTTTTATTTTAATATCAAAATTAGAAATATGTCCAACTTTTATTGCATAATGTACAATAAAGTTAAGTTGTGGTCGTCCTAACCTTTCATGCTTCTATATAGTAGTAAAAATATATATTAATCTCACTCATTCCAAACTTGTCAACCCAACAACAAATTAAGTGGCACTATAACTTAATCTCAAAACTATTTGATGTTATCCTTTACACCAAACGACCCTTTAAGAATGTACACATATTCTCAACACTTCGATTCTTCTATTTTTATCTCCTTATTTATTTTCCTTTAAGCATCAAAGCCCATAAAATGAGGGTAATTAGCATGACTATTTTTTTTCTTTTTTTATGTTACTAGCCTAAAACACATCTACACTGGAGTATTGGTTTTGTTGCGATTTCACATTTTAACTATTAGTTATTTCATTCTTGTCTTAAATTCTGAACTATCACCATCTATATATTAAAATATATTTGAATTATCAATTATTTTCTTTTTCTATTTGAAATATTATGACTGCAGTGTTAGAATAGAAAAATATAACAACTGATAGTTCAGATATGCTTTAATACATAAATAATACTTGTTCACGAAAAAATAATAATTTAGATATGTGTCTTATGCCGTTATCGTTTTTTTTTTTTTGGTTGTTGTTGTCATTCTAATACCTTAGCAGTTACTATTTTTAATTATCTTTGTAATACCCATGTGATACTGTTTTGAATTTTGATTGTATTGACGTGCTCTTAAAAATTGGGCAGCAAAAGGTAGTTGTCAGATTATCTTTGAATGGAAATTATCAGAAATATCGGTCCAAGGCCTTCAAGGTTACTATTTATATTTCCCTTTGCCATGTGTAAAAGATGTTAGTGTGACATTTTAATATTCTAAAATATATTAAATTTTGCAATATTTTGCATAGTCACACAAATATTGATTTCTGGCCGTTGGTTGACTTCTCACTTTTCATAGGTTACAAAATGTTGGATGTAATAACAATCATAATTGTTGCATTACTCCAAATGGAGTTAGTGCATATGTTACAAACTTTTTGGTGCAGCAGCAAGCCGTTGGTGGCTTAGTGATTCATTATTCCATTCTTTACTCCTTCATTATCCATGTAACCTATGTAACTCCTAAGGCTATTATCTTCACTATTTACTACACCATTATCTTCCTATTCATTGCTAGGAAGACTTCTTCTAGTATAAATAGTGGTGATCTTCATTTGGTTTGTGACACACAATACAACAAGAAAATATAGAGTGTATAAGGTTTGTCAAAAAGAGAGTTCTTATTAGTTGAAAGGAGGTGTTCTTTTTTGTGGAGCTTTGGACTCAACTCTTGTCCAGAGTTGTTGAGTTATATTTTGTGATTAGGCTGTTGTATCCTGGAGGGGAAGGTTGCAAAAGGTTTTAAACAACTAGAAGGCCTAGAATTGGACCGGTGAAAATATTTGCTGCAGTGGGCTTGAATCTCCTTAAAGAGAGCGAGATATCCGCGCCTCAACCTGAAGAGTATTTATTTCTTCTATTTTTATTTTCAATTGTAATCTTGTATTTTTGTTATCTTGCAAGTTTTTCACTAACAAAAGATGTTTAGTCGTGTAAAAATCTTTGATACATTTTTGTATAAGTTAAAGTCAATTTATTTCAAATACCAATATTTTCTAGACTACCAAGTTAGATATTACTAAATGTGATAGTAATATTTTTGAAGGTTTTAACCCAAAAAAAAAAAAATTGTTGAGCAGGAAATTTCCCCTAAAAATTCAACTTATCATCATGTGATGTGTTACATTGTTTCATTTCTTTATAAAAATCAATGCAAAAAACTTATTCACATCGATACATCCAATATTTTCTATATATTTAAGTCGAGTGTTTTTATTTGATGTACAAAACAATATATATGACGACGATTTGAGTATAGGAGTCTAAATTTTTAAAAAAATTCAAACTTTTAGCGTCTACATATATATGATGAAGAGGTGGTGGGTGGATTGCCATACACGCAAAGCCCACGGTTTGATTTGATAAGCTCGTGGACTTAATTTAGCGATTTGTGATTACTTTTCTCTTCCTAATTACATTGCACAAGTCATTAATAATTATATCCTACAACTTATATTGGGAGCGTCACTCCTGAATGAGCTCTGCAATGTATGATTTAAAAAATTTAATCAAAATTTTAATGTGAGTTTCGGACACTGGACGGAAAAAAAAAACATCCTCCACGACCTCCCAATAGTTTCGAAGATACTTCATATTTAATTTATTAAATTAACTTAAATTGGTCGACAAAAAAAAGAACATTATTTTCCATCTGAACACTTCTCTAGAATACTTTACATAGAAGAAGTATATTTATTTTATGTGAGCCCTTCGGTCTTTTTATTTGTTTTTTTAAAAAAAATTTAAAAAATAAATGACAAGCCTCCCTCATTGCTTAATACTTTCGTTTAAATTATAAAATAAATATAAAGGCATAATAACCTAATAAGCTTAACCATGATTAAATACTTTGTCTTTCATCCAGAATCATTTAACAAAAAAAATGCTATGTAGGGTGCCATGTACGTAGGACGAATGTGTCTATTTGTTTAATTTTATGCAAGTTTAAGTGTCTACTTATGCACATCCAAAGTTAAAGATCATAGTTATTAGCTAGCGTCAAGTTAAGGATCATATTTATATATTATGCCAAATTTAGCTTGTCCATTACATATTAATATGACGATATGATTAAGTCATATACATGACGTATATAAGTTGAGTATAATTTATTATGTCGTAGTTTCCAGGGTTTGATAGGATGACTTTCCTAATTTTTGTGGTGTTGAATCTCCGTAATTCACAATTTTCCTCAAATATAACTAACAAAGCTTATTTAATTAATTATTTGACAGATTAAAACGGCTCAAGACTACATATGAAGAAAATTCTTTGAACTTATCCAAAATATAATGGATCATTTTTGTCATTTTCTCTTTGTCATTTTTGTCTAGCCATTTTTTTTTTGGGTCTTAAATACGTGTTTTTTTTCATCTATAAATACTCCAAATTTAAAAATTGTCGATCTCCAAGCCAATTTCTCATCATTTCAAGAATTATAAATCTTTCCCTACTAAATTAGGACTATATTGTAAAACAAGTTTTCCACCAAGGACTAGCAAAAATGAAAGTATGCATGTCTTAATTTTTAAGTATACTTAATTTAGTCTAAGTCTTAATTAATTAGCTCTATAACATATTGCATTACTTTATTTCTTATATTTGTGGTATTAGTTGAATTGTGATTACTTACATAGATTCATAATTAAATTGGACAGCAAAGGGCGTTTATCAAATTATTCATTGATAGGAATAATCGGAAATCTCGGACAAAGGCCTTCAAAATTGCTGTTTCTCAACCAGGTATTTATTCGTCTCCGTTCAGTTTCTTGATTTTAACTATTCAAATCTAAAACTTGTGAAACTCATTTTCTTATATGTTTTATCGTGGGTGAATAAACTAAATTAGCTCATAAAAATATGATACACGTCATCATATCCAGGTTTAGGCAAGTTGAGGCGCAGATCGATTGTTGAGCTTGAATTGGGCCAAATATTTAATACAAGTAGCAAAATGTTTGGACAAAAATTATTTTTGATATACCTTAGGTATCCCCATGTCAAAGATATATTAAGTTTTATATAATACATAAACATAAACATGATCCTTAACTTGGCTTCAACGGACAACTATGCCCTCTAACTTTGAGTATGCACAAGTAGGCACTTAAACTTGTATAAAATTTAACAAGTAGACACACGTGTCCTACATGGCACCCTATATGAAAATTTTGTGTCCTACGTGGCGTCCTACATGTATTATGCTGTTTAGGACATGTGTGTCTACTTATTCAATTTTATACAAGTTTAAGTGCCTACTTGTGCATACCTAAAGTTGGAGGGCATAGTTGTCCGCTGAAGCCTAATTAAGGGCTATGTTTATGTATTATGCCATTTTTATTCTTTTGATAAATACCACCTATTTGTTTATCATATTTTGATCCAGTTCATTTCAATTTACATAACTAGAAAAATTAATAAGAACCCATCCATTTATTAATTTTGTTCATATAGAGCATTTCAAATTCAGTACAACTCGTCCATTTAATATCATCGTGATCTTATTGGTGTATGCTTTTACATATATAGGGGTGGAATCAGCAGCTATAAAGGAAGGTGAAGATTTCCAATTAGAAGTAGTGGGAGACATTGACGCAGTAGATCTTACGAACTGCCTCAGGAAGAAATTGGGCCACGCTCAGCTACTGAGCGTTGGCCCTGTTGTCGTTGTTACTGATAGTGACAACGACAACGACAACGACAACTTGGGAGGGGGTACAGGTTTCGATGCAAATCCGCAACCCCATAGTTACCCATATTTTGGCGTACCTCAATACCAAGTTTATGAAGTTAGCGACCCGAACCCGGAATGTTGCTCCATTATGTGAAATGTTAATTACTTGGATTATATTGCATGAAATGTAACGGTCTATATGTCGGAGCAAATTAATCAATCGATGATTGGCTGTTTTGATTTCTATTTTACAAGTTTTTGTTTCGAGAGAAATATTGAAAACACCCCTAAACTCGATCTGAATTATTTGTTTCATTTTCGAACTATCGACAATCTTAAAAATACTCATTTACTTGACTAACTGAACTTAAATACACCCCTATCTTGCAACATAATGAAACACACACCCTAAATTCTCGCTAAGGTTAGGGGTGTTTTCAACACCTCTCTCGGCTCTTTATTAAGAGTTTCATGCTTTTACAAGAGTTTGAGACCACTTGTTATGTCGTGTGTCAGATTGAGTGTGTATCTAAGTTTAGATAGTCAAATCGAAGGGTGTTTTCAAGGCGTTTAGTAGTTTAGGAATAAAACTAATAATTTGCATCAAGTTGAGTAGTATTTTCAATACTTTATCTCTTCTATTTTTGTTCATTTTTGGATGATCATTTATAGTGTTAAATTTTTTGGAAATAGTCTACGATCATACTTCTGCTAAATTAAAGAAAATGTTAATACTTTAATTTAAAGTATATTGGTGCTTTAATAATGCATGCTTGTTAAACATGATTAATTTGATGTTGAGGTTTTTTGTTTTAACATGTGGGTTGGATTTTAAAGGCATCGTTTGGAGATGTATATGAAATCATGAAACGAAATCAAATTGATCTGATATGAAGTTTTCTTTGAACATGTAATTTGAATTTCTTAAGTTATATTTTTTTTCACAAACATAAAAGTACCCAACAAGCTGTGAACTATCAAAATTTTCTCAATTCTTATATAATCTTACCAAGTAAACAAATTATAGTTCATAAACAACACATCAAAATACCGTAAAGCTGCGAAAACAAAAATTCACCAACAAAAAAATAGTACCAACAATAGTAAAACTATGAGATGCATAATAAGAAAAGAAGCATTTCAGACTAGAAAATCACAACAGGTAATCGATCGATCCACTAGTTAGATCATCAATAGCTCCGATTTAGAGACCACATCTTATTATACATATAAGTTATATATTCCAATTAAGTATTTGGCATTCACATTATGGAGCAACATTCTGGATTCGGGCCTGTATTTTCGTAAACTTGGTATTGAGGTATGCCACGGTAAATATTGAGTTGCGGTGGCTGATGATCAGCCATCGCAGAAAAAGCATGGGGCCTTTCGTTGTTGTTGTTACTGAATGTAGCAGCAGCAACAGGCCCAACGCTCACCAATTGGGCCTGACCCAATTTCTTCTTGAGGCAGTTGGTAAGAATTACTGCGTCAATATAGTCTCCCACCACTTCTAATTTGTAATTTTCAAGTCCACCTCCCTGCATAACTGCTGATATCACCCCTAAGTAAAAATCCACCAATTATTATAAGCGGTACTAAAGATTAAGCCGAAGAAGAATTATAACTAGAATTCTTCGCTCAGGCCCTTTGGTAGGCCCTTTGTACCAAGAAGTAAGTTCAGAATATAGGATAATGGACTCGTCCATTATAAGTTATTAGTTTATGGAGCTATCTCCCATAAGGAAACGGGACAAGTGTTAAATAAGCGAGTTAAATTGAATTTGAATAAGTACTTTAATTATGTTTATTAAAAATTTTAGCTTCGTCACCGACTGTTGCCAATCTATCCAACCTAACTAAGTTTATATTTTTTTTTTGCTTACTTGCTTATAATTTTTATAGTTACCAAACAAAATTATAAAACTTCATTTTCTTTAATATAACTCTATCTAACATATCAAATAATTTATGTAAAGAAATATTTTGCCAAATTTTATTATGGGAGACGAAGAAGTAGGTACCTGGTTGAGAAACAGCTATCTTGAAGGCTTTGGTCCTAGATTTCTGATCATTCCCATTTATGTATAGTTTGATAACTACTTTTTGCTGTCCAATTTATGAATTTATGTCAGCAATTACAACTCAACCAATACCACAAATATATTTATTGTATAAATAAATATAACAAGTATATATATATATATATATATATATATATATAAAACACGTTAGATTAAGATTATAATTTTAAAAAAAAAAAAGACATGCATACTCTCATTTTTACTAATATTCTTGATGGTTTGCAATATAATAATTTAATAGGGAAATAGTGGAGAATGAGTGTCCTATATTTATAGTTGGCCTTAAAAGCACGGAAAAAACACGTAAAGATTTTAATAGAGAAATAATGAAAATGGTCCCTAATGTTTGAGTAGGTTCAAAGTAGTCTCTTAAAATTATACTTTTAAGTAATTTTGAGTCTTCTAATTTTTTTTTTCAAAATTGGCACGTTTAGTTTCCTTATATTATAACAAGAAGCTTCGCCAATTATATTCGAGCGGAGTTGTGAAAAAAGAGATGTAAATCTTAATAAAAACAATGACACTAAAAACATTTCATATGTGATTTTCGATCAGGGCTAAGCCAGAGTGTTGATTACAGGTTCAATCGAACTCAGTAACTTTGGTTCAAATTTTAAATTTGTAGAAAGAAATTCATTAAATATGTACAAATTATTAGTTTATAACTCAATAACTTAACAATATTAAAACTTTGAAGTCATAAACTTCAAATTTAAACTGTCTCTCTCTGTTTTCAACTAAATATTTTTGTTTTCCACTATTCCCACGATCAAATTTTGTATGTTAGATATTTGATCGAGATAAAAAAATTGTTCGATTTTGAAAAATTAAACTGACCAAATATATTTAGGAAACTATTTGAACATTACCACAAAATTACGAGACTGATTTTGTTATGTCATGGATATGACATAATCATTAATTTTGATGTAAAGGCCGGACCAATGATGTTTTTCCATGAAACTAGATAAGTAATTATCCTTTAATTTATGTTTGATAAATAAACTTTATTGGTTGTTTTAATAATTTTTTGTCAATTTTCCCTTTTTCCTTTTGAATTTATAGAAAATTAATTAGACATCTTCCATACAATCCCCATAAAATAAAAGTCATGGCAGTAAGTGAGAATTAAAGAATTAATTTAGCCGCAATACTGGAAAAATACTTTGTAGACACGGCCAAATGAAATTGCTCGCTAAATTACAATAAGCTTCTTTCTGATTTCCTCGCCGTAGTTTTCATGTTTCACTTATCGAGAATCAGAATAATTTCTTGAGCTAATTAAATTAGATTAATTCATTTTTTACTATATCAATTTGGATATTTAAAAATTATACGAGAAATACTATGAAAATATAAGTTGCAAAAATTGATGAAACTATATATATTAAAATGTTTGTTGAATTTCATGTAGTTTGGCACTCAAAAACTAATAAATGACCAGTATTTTAGGATGGAGAGAGTATGCACTACTACAATGATCAATAGCTTCCAATTTCTTATTCCCAAAAATTACAAACATTTTTTTTTTCTGAATAATGAATAGTACTCGAGGGCTGCACTGAAGTGCACTTTTCAGTTTATTTACTTTTTCCTTGTCTATTATTTTAAAAATAATTTTTTATTTCTACTGATTATTTATAATATATCAAGAAAAGATATATTATTTTTGTTTTACTGTTTGCATAATTACTTATTTTTTCAATTATTTTAAAACTTTATACTAAACATCAAAAGTATTAAATCATAATTAATTAAACTTATTCTAATATTTAAATATATATATATATATATATATGTCCATTTCCATTATCCATTACATATATATAAGTGACAATAACCAGCCGGTCATGGTCGACATGCCTGCCTGACAGCTGCACTATTTTCTCTTTTTTGGTGGTTCTGTCGTTTTAATTTGTTTGTCTTGTTTTTTAATTTTTTAAATGTTTAAAAAAAAATATTATAAATCATAATAATTGAATACTATAAAAAAATCGATTGATTCATAAAATTAATCTATCTGTGTCACTTAAAATGGGATAAAAGAAGGAACATGTATTATTTAATTTGAAAACTTCGTAGAAAGTATTGTAAATCTCAATAATTAATAACAATTGATTGACTTTTGAAATTCTATTTGTGCTACTAGATACATTGGATAAAAGAAGTAACATATATTATTAAAAATTTACGTAAAAAGTACTATAAATTACAATAATCAAAAGAAGTAACATATAATATTTAATTTGGAAACTGTTTAGAAAATATTATAAATATCAGTAATTAACAACATTTGATTGACTCTTAAAATTCTATATGTGTTACATACATTGAGACAGGAGAAGTAATATATATTATTTAAAAATTATGTAAAAATATAATAAATTACAATAATTAACAACTTAAAATATTTAAAAATTATATTAAAATTTAATTGACTATCTAAATTCTATCTATGTCACATAAAGTGAGACAAAAAAATAACATATACTTAGATCTGTGCTAGCACGGACACTGATATCTAGTAATAATTATAAAAAGGCATTTAGTAGTGTTGCTTTTGTTGTTGTTTCTTCTTCTTTCTTTTTGGTATAGACCAAGTCAATAAACGACTAGTTAATTCAATAAATTACCTGTACTTGGATCTTCGAAATTATTAGAGGATGTAGCTTTCAATGACTATTCCCGGTGTTAGAAGGATGGAGGCAAGTTGATGGTAATTTCTGAAGAATTTAACAAAATAACAAGTAGTGGCAATTTGGATATATAAATAAAGTAAAAATTACACAAAATTCATAGTGTTAAGAGTTACTAACATTTTGTTCCTATTTTTTTCCGAATTACCAAAATCTTTTAAAATTTAAAGATTTCAGATATATTACTCAACGTTCCGATACATCGCGTTTCGATACATTACCTTTGATACAAGATACACATGTCCCCACACATTATCTTTGTTGATACAAGAAACACTTATCTCGATACATCGCAACCCGATACATCACGTAAGAGTGATGTATCCGAGAATAGGAGAGAGAGTGAGAAAAATAGAAATTTTTATAATTTTTCAAATAATAGGAAATTTTTAAAAATATGATAAAATAAATTGGATATTTAATTCATTTTTCCATTAATGAATATAT